ATCACCGAAGTTTACTTAAGGCTTTTCAATTGAGATTCAGCGCTTTTCTTAAACAACCACTTAGCTTCCTAAAGCAACAGCCCATTTTTTTCTCCTCTGACAACTTTTCTTTTGTTTCTTCTACTTTCTTCGTTCTTATCATCTGTAGCTAATAAACACTATTGATGCTTCTGTAAACAATTAAACAGTGAACTGCAAAGTTTTAGATAATAAGTGAGAGTGTGTCAACAAAATATTAAACGTGAGTCCCAGTATATCTTCCAATAAATTAATTTTTCGCGTTAACTCGTTTTAAATCTATTGCATTCTGTAGAATTATCATTTACTCTCTCTTTGTCCTTTGTTCGCTGTTTTTTCCTAATCATCTTGAGAAGCCACGATTTTAGAATAAAAGCAAATGCTGTGTAATAAACAGCAAAACTATTACAACCTCAAGCCGCTGAGAAATTAAAATAAAGTGAGCAAAAAATGGCACTGTAACGGCAGCGAAAGCAGCTGATAAAGGTTTCTTATATAACAAGTCAAAGTCTTGTACATAATTTATAGCGGGAAAGAAATATAGAATTAATATAGTCATTTTAAAACTGGAACTTTGATGAATCAAATCGGCTTTCATTATGAGGTCGGTGAAACAGGTACAAACTGCAATTCAAGGCAGTAGCAGCGGCTTCAATAAAATAGTTGTATCAACTAAAGTAATATTTTTGAAATAATAAGTGGGCAGTTTTATTGTCTACTCCACCAGTATACCATTATATAATGATAGAAACTTTTGGTAAATTGTATTTTGAAATAACTGTAGAAGCAGCTTACCGATTTGATTCAGTCATATGGTTTTCTCGTCAAACAAAGTTTGGCATTGTTACATGCAGCCATTAAACTTTTGCTCTGCAGAAAATTTTTCCTGTCCTCTCACCATGAGAAAAAAATTTCATTGTTGGTAAGCAAAATTCAAATTTAAATTTAGTTGAAAAAAAAAAAAACGAAACTAAAATTAGTAACAATTCAGTGAAAACGATAAAACATTAAAATTGTAATGGAAATATGAGGTAAAGAGTTGAATAATGTCTTCCCCGTTCAAACAGCACATTGTTTAGCAAAAAGAAATTTTTTTCACTCTTTGCCACTTTCACAACAAAATCGAAATATTAAGTTCATATAAGTACCAGTACGCTAATTTCTTCTTTTACCGTTTTCATTAGCACAGTACAATAAAACTCTTAAGAACAAACAACCAAAGATTATTATTACCATTCTAAACACGTTGCATTTAATAATCTTTTAACACAGATAGTAAATGTTCAAGAATTATCAGTTGGTTTACCATTTGTGCATATGTACAAGCAAAGATAATTTTCTTCAGTCAAACTTGCAATTATAGAAGAGTCTGAAGCATAATTAACCACATTTATTTCTAACCATTCAATTGCATTCTGAGTCTGTTAAATTTTTAATACCACTTGATTTTTTGTTATCACCGAAATACTTTTTTTTCCCTAAAAGTTAACACTTTTTGACACGGCAATTACCAGGTTATTAACGTTACGCAGTCTAGAATAAAACTGCAATTATCTTTTTGCACTATCAAAGTGAACAGAAAAAATAGTATATAAGTTTCTGATAAAGCGACATCATTCTATTGCCGCGCTAGCGCCGTTCTTCATCATTTTAAGCATTGTACTTAACTGTAACGTACACTTCTGTTTTGCTTTTATTTTTATTTTTTTCTTTGTAAGGAGTACATCTGAATAATTCTTCTGTTGTCCATGCTTTCACAGGACCAAGACTTCAATCAAGTGGCGTCAAAAGTACAGATGTACGGTTTAGAAAAGAAAGACAAAAATTAACTAAAAATTTATAAAAACTTTTTTTAATACTGTTTTTAAAAATATTCTTTAACTTCAGTTTCGTTCAGGTGCTGAAAACCAGAAATAATTGTCTGTAGAACACCAAGAAGTAAAACACATTGGAGCGAGTAGTATCTTTTAGAAGTCCTTTTGGAACGTAGCTATTAACAACAGGCTTTTAAATAAACGAATTTAAAAGCTACTCTTCTATGCTGCACCAGTGCAACAGTTCCTGTTGAGAAAACAGGCGCAAGCGCTGTATTTGTCATTCAGGTGCTGTTGAAACGTACAGGTCAAGCCGTGCAAATTAAGGAGCCAACCACCAAGCTTTTCTATAAGAGGTCGCCCGGAGTGGTCAAGTCGGTGAAGTGTGTGGGCTCGACAAAGAATCTTTATTAGGCAGGCAAGCGCCAGAGAACACGCTTAAAAGTCGTGCAAAGTATGCTTCTACATCCTTTTAAAGAAAAGAAAAAGTTACAAGGTGGCAGTTCTGTAAGTCCTCAAAATCTCGGTCGTAATTGTGTCTTTTCTGCAGGTGTATTTTCTGCGATTATTGTATTTACCAGGATTTTGGTATAAAGGTTACCGTTTTATCAGTTTTACGGTGTCATTGATGGTTTCGGTCTTTTTTCTTTTTTTTTTATCGGTTTTAATTGCGTTTTTTTTAGTTTTTTTTCTAACTCCATTTTCTGCTTTTTTTTTTCTTTTGAATTATTCTAAGTCTTGTCTATTTTTAGTGTCCCTGTCTGATAAAAGTCTTATTAGCTTGTCAAGCTTTGAGACGTTCAAGGATCTTCATTAGGAGAGTCTTCAGACTAAACAATGAAATCCAAAAGGGTGAAAGCTATTCAGAGTCGTTTGGGTCAAACAGGTCAGTTGCAATGTTTATAGAAAAGACAAGAGTGAAAAATCTTTTTACCATATTTTGTAAAAATAAGACGTCAAAAGACGAAAAGATGCTAATGGTAAAATTATTGTGATACTCCTCAAGCAGGAATTTCCATTAATATCTAAAAAGATTATACTAAACAAAAACCTTTAAAAAATGGTGCATTTTTTTCGCTTTCTAGGGTTAAAAAAGAACCATACCCTCTGATTTCAAGCACCTATACTTCTCAAAAAGCTTTACTACAAATTCTTTTTCTTGTGCATAGTCCATCAGTCCAATCCACAAACGTCCGTATCAAGTATTAGGTACAAAAACAAAAGTTGTATTTTTCTTTCAGTATCTTCTTGTATTACGCTGCACAAAAATCTAAAAAAAACTTATTTTTTAGAATAAAATTTTCAAAGCCCGAGCTACAGACGACACAAGAGTGAAGAAGAAGAAAAAAGCTTTTTACTGGGGTGGTAAGAAAAGCGATAGCAAATTGAATATTCGAGTCCACGACAAAGCGTCTAGTTGAAAAGAAGTCTTGAAAACGATAAAAAAAATCAAAAACAACAAGTTTTTATTTCAGGGAAATAAAAATGAAGAACACAAAGAAACAGGAATAAGTAAATAAACTAACTAACCTGCTTCAATAAAATTGGAAACTACAAGCTCTGCAACGCAAAAAAACTACAGAACAATAATTGCAAAGCGCAAAACCATTTAAAAATAACCACTATCCCAATCTGCCTAAAGCAAGAAGATCAGAACGTTTTTTCACGAGAGGAAACATACACGGTTCCAAGAAACGACTTTAATACATTCAGCAATACCTCTTAAGTAAAAAGAATGCTGACTGGATCAGATTTGTTAAAAAAATATTACGCAAGCAGAAATGAAAAGTTCGACGCTATACAGCCAAGCTCTCCGGTAATTTGAGAAAAGCAGCAGTAATTTGAAGAACACAACTCAGAGAGCATTTATGAAAATAAAACTGAATTGAAAATGTATTAAATAAAAATACAAACAACTTTTCGTTCGCATAAGATATATCCTTTAAAGGCCAGCCCCCAATGATCAGGCAGAACTGAAGGTAAAAGTAAACAGCGTGACACCCACACAAGTCTTCTAGCGATAGCACTCCCTCTATACTAAAAGTAAACGGCGTGACACCCACACAAATCTTCTAGCGACAGCACTCCCTCTATACATGTCACACGTTTCGCTTCAGGCCGCGGATTCAGCTAATCCTTTTGCTGTATCTCCTCGTCGGATGGCAATTTACAGATCGACAGTGTTTTGAAGAGCAGCGAAGAGCAAAAGCAGCAGTAAACACACAAATCAATAAATTTTTGAGGTTCCCTTTCACGCAGCGATGTTTATATTGCTCGTAAAAACTTGGTACCGCAGCTCCAAATTAGGAAGACAACTTGAGCAAAAATGACAGCTAGCCTTTTTCATCTGCCTCACTCGTATCGTACTATGCAACGCATCCCGGAAGAAATTATCAAGCTATTTAACGCACTACGAGAGAGCGAAAACACATTTTATAACCTGTCAAATTTTATCTGACGAGGAACCGGTTGGAAACTGTGCGCATAGTCTCTGACCACAGCTAGGAAGCCGATTGCTCTCTTTTTCCATCATATACTTCTTCCTGCTCATTCTTCTCACGTACCACGCGAGCACTGTCAGCCAAAATCATAGTAAATCCGCAACATCAAAAAAGACAACAGCGCACCGGTGGAAAACCGTCCAAATGATGCAACACCTGCTAATTATCCTTCCTATCAAAACCCCCAATCCTAATCCTTTGCTCAGCACAAAATCTTTTTTATCGCTAACAAACATGGCTTTTATTTAGCCACAACGACGAATAAACATTAGCGCCAGAAGAAAAAAATAGAATTAAAAAAACAGAGCACCGAAAGAAATGCCGATGGAATAAGCTATGGTTCTGTTCTTTCGCAACTTATTGGTTCAACAACAGAAATCTCTTTTTGGGTAGAGAGTACTCCCTCTCAATCAGTGACTCTTCACCATAGATCAAACAGACAACCTCTGCAACACAGTCTTGGATGAAGTTCTCAAAGAAACAGGTCCATCACCAGGTCCATCACTGCTATCCGTGGCAGCATAGTCTAGCGACATTATTCTCTCTTTGGGTGCGAGAGCATCTTGCTTGAATCACATGCATAACAGATCGCTTTCTTACACAAAAATGAACAGAAACCCTCTTTTTGATCTACACCACATAAGCTGCGCATCGAAACACTTCTTCCTCAGGCGCTTTGCGCCTTGGCGGCTTCGCAGCAGAAATCTCTTTCTGAGTCCGAGAAGACCCGATTACAATCACATGTAAGTTCCATAGCCTCCTTCTTCAAAAATCCGGAACAAAACGTTTCTCCAACAACTTTCGATAAAGTTTCTGAAAAAAACAAGCGCACAAAGGCCAATAAACGCCTGAAAAGGCTAGCATTATGATTCTCGCCTCAGGTGCAAGAGGTCAGCGTTTTGATTACCGGTTCACCCTATTCTTTTTTTCTGGGGATCTGAATCATAACCTCTATTACTAACAGTCTTCGAAATCTGGCATATTAAAAATTTTGACATCTGCAGTCGCTCTTTTAGTTCTTCGGTGCCACATCGCCTTACTAGCCGGAAACTCAGACCGTTCATTCCGGTTGACAAACCAAGATCTTCTGCAGAAGAAGACAGGGCAATAATCGCATCTCTGTCACCCTTTCAGGGAACAGCTAAATTTTTTACCCGTAGCTCATGTGATTCGCGGCTGAATATTCTAGTGATATGATTCTCACTTCGGCTCCAAAAGGTCCCAATTTTAAACACCGGCTTACCCCATTCTTTTATTGACCGCGCAATCCAAGCGAAACGCCTGCAATCAAAGCCTCACAGAACCTCATTCGTTGGGAAATATCGCTTTACCAATTACTACCTTACTGCATCACTCTCACAACTATCCGTTCAGAGCCAACCCGACTCGACTACCCGGCGTGTGCACCATGATCCTTCTTCTTTAAAAAGATTATATAATACCTTTCTCTTCTGCACCGTCAAGATGATCCGGAAAACTTCTTATCTGCGCTTCTCCTGCTTCACGGCTAAATCGTTTAGTGGTTTCACTCTTCTTTTGGGCGCGAGAGGCCCCGGTTTTGACCGCCGGTTTAGTTCATCCTCTAGCTAGCTGGCTACTCCAACTAGAAAGCCCGTAACCAGTACTTCATCAAATCTCCTTTTACAAAATTGGGCAGTAACCGTCAATCCCTCAAAAATCCACTGCAACAACGATCGATCAGAGGCGACTTCATCAAAACCACGGGTTTCCTCGCTCAGAGAATCAATTGATAATTTTCTCTTTTCCACGGTTGAGACGTTTCGACCACCCGTTTAGAACGTTCCTTTGTTCGTTTAACAAACCAAGAACGACGTCTTGAACGTTTAACAAACAAAGAACGACGTCTCGAAATGATAACTCACAAAACCTCTCTTCCTGCTCAACTTCGCACCAAAAGAGTCTCCTCCCAGTGCTTGTCTCTCAAAACTCCTGCTTTACATCCGAC